CTAAGGAGCTAAAATTGGACCAGCAAGATTTCCAGAGGGATCTGAATGTAGCACGGGCCCACAAGTTTGGGAGGAAAACAATGTTGAGGTACTTTTATTACTCTAGAAGCTAAAAACACCTCACTCAGCCCATAAACACATATCAACAGTGCACAGAGAAGCATAATCAGCAAACATACCAATTTAGGGTTGTAGTCCAGAAGTGGTGGTGTCTGGTCTGATCATCTCCATAATGTCACCAGTAGATGGTGCACTTCCCTGGGACTGACAGCAGGATCCCACCAGTTGTATCTCTGATTTGCTATGTGACCTGAGTGATTTCACCTGTCTGTGCCTCTTGTCTCTGCCTAGGTGTGTCTATTTAGACTGAAAGCTCTTCAGAGCAGAGACTATCTTGCACTGTTTGTACAGCGCCTAGACTAATGGCATTCCAGCCACTATGATAATGCAAATCACCACCAGACAAACTGCAACCACTGCCTCAAACCATAAATGAACCATACTTCAGATTAGAGGCCTAAACTTAGAACCTGAATTATTAAACATTTTTTGATTTGCAAGTTTACAGCTAAAGCACTTTCCATTTTTTAAAGTGCGATAAGATGGGAAAATAGTTATTGTTTCCACTCCTTAGTGGAGGTTGCAGCTCTGTTCCTAGATGTGGATCTGAAATTCTTATTCTTTTTAACCTTTATTAGCCTTGGTCTACTACAGTACTATATTGCCAGGTGACAAACAGCATTTTAAGAGAAGAAACTTTCTGAAATTGGTTGCCATGGTTGAACTCTCTGGCCCAGATCCTCAGCATGTGTAAATCAGCATAGTTTCATTGAAATCAATGGAGCTATATCAGATTTACACAGGTTGAGAATTTTGCTTTTTTCCCCATTAATGGCCAAGACTTAAAAAATAAAAATAGAACTAGGTTTAAGTGAGCCAGGCTGATGGCATATGCAGCATGCAAGACCTCAAGAATATTTCAAAAATTTAATAAGATTGAAGAAAAGCACGAGAGAAAATATTTTAAGCCTCTGAAATTATGAAAAACTTTACGATCCACCAGATGAACAAAATTTCCTTTTCAGAAAACAAATGAGTTCATTTCTAGTAGACACATTTAACTATGAGAAATCCTATGTAGCCACCCAGCTTCACTACCTTTAATTGCTTTCTAAAGAGGATGCACTTTCATATCCAGAGTTTCTTGATTGTAGCCCTTCTTGCAGGAAACAGTCACTGACTGTTCCCCCTCTGTTTCCTTTCTTCTTCCTGCCCCTCAGACTCACCCCAAAAAATGCAGATAAAATTATTTACCCATGTTCATTCCCTGCCCAGCGCACCATCCACATTTGAATACCTAGCTCTTATTAAGCACTTTTCATCAGTAGATATGAAAGTGCTTCATAAAGGAACTCTGTATCATCATCTGCATTTTAGAGATGGGGAAATGGAGGTGAAATATTTGCACAAGGTCACCCCGCCGCAGCACTGGGAATAGAAGCTACATTTCCTGAGGCCCAGGCCAGTGATCAATCCATTACGACACACCACCTCTCTAAGGAAAATAGTTTCCTTTCTAAAGGATGCCAATAAGAGGTAGGTTGTAATTAAAAGCGCAAGTTCGCTTCCATATGGTCACTCTGTTTCCAACCTCTGTTTTGAATACGGAGGCAGAATTATTTTTCTACCATCACAGGGATGTAGGCAGGCTGGTTATTGTGGGATTGCACACATCTATAGGGCTACAGACAGCGTGGTGCCCCTTGAAGAAAAGAAAATAGGGTACAGAATCCTTTGAGTCTTTTGTGGGGTAGAGATCGAGAATTAGATGGGCTATGGAACAAACAGGGGCAGTGGGAGAAAAAGTGTGATTCGGGCCCAGCCACCTCAACATTCTTCCTTTAAGTGAAGTTAAGATGGATGTCCAGAAACATGAAGGCATCAAAATTCCAATTTCCAGAAGGTCTTGGGTGGATACCCAAAAAGCCTTAAAGAACTGGGAAAACAGCCAGTAGACTGAAGAGACTATGGTGCAATAAGAATTAATGAGAAAAACAGCACAAAGCACAAGCACAGTTCAGTGCTAAAGCATCACTCTATCAGTGGCCATTTGGATATTTTATATGAAATAACTCACTGAACTCAAAGTCTGTGTTTGTGGGAACAGTATTGTTGCTGTCAGGGGTTTATCACAAAAACACCCTTGACTCTGCAGGGATCTATAATCTTTACAGTGGCCAATCCAGCCACTAACTTTTTAGATACATATTTCTCTCCCTTCTCCCAGACCTTCTGCTTATCCCTCTTTTAGACTAAGGGTTTGGAGAAAGTCAATAAACAGAATATATCTTGTTCAGACTCATTTTATCACCTTTGTTAGACATTTCAATCAGCTTTTCAGCCTTGTGTTACTACTGAAACAATTCTACAACGGGGAGCATCAAGAATTGTGGAATTCAAGAAACGAGTCCTAGATACTAAATATTTCGACTGCGGATCCTAAAATTTGTAGGCAGATGGGTAGATTTCACTGACACTGTCTTTGTTTAGCTCTGTGCTGCTGCTTTTACTTGGAAAATTGTTCACTAGTCCCAGTCCGATTCAATAAATGACATGTCACTAAATTATGAACAAAGAGGTCACAGACTCCACAACTAAAGATGAAAAGGTTTCTGTTGAAAATCCAATTTTGACCCCTCTTCTGATTTTCAAAGGAAGCCTTCCGGTGTGCCTGAGGATTCAAATACTTCATCCCATGCCAAGAGAAGGGTTTTTTGTTTACTTTTTGCAGTTTTGGAAGGGAAGGATAAAGTAGTTGTTTAAGGGGAGAAGAGGGCTAAGTTAGGGGACACAGTAAAGTTGCTGTTTTTCATTTCTGGAGACATGAACACTTTTTTGCCCCCCCCCGTAATTCAAACCCTTCTTATCGTACAAAGTTCATACTGTTTATTCTCACTGATAGCTCCTGCCCAAGTCCTGTTTGATAAAAAAAATTGTTTATCTGAAAACCCAATTTATAGCTGAAAAACAGTTTTGATGGAAATTTTTGACCAACTCTTTAACTTCTAGTCAGATGCCTGGAAAAATTGGAAAGTCCCACAGGGAAGAGCAGAGCTAATTTACATTTGTGGGTTTAAAAGGGCTTAGAATTCAATTTTTCCATTTAAGCAACTAACACACGTGAGCCTCATCTGGCTCCTCTCTGTGCTCAGGCTCCCTATTTCCATCCTTACCTTTAGACTGCGTCTTATGGAGGTGAGGCTTGCTGGCCAGAAAGGTTCACCAATACAACAAATTAGGATCAGTTACACAACTAGGCATCTGGAGTAGCTAGACCCAGCTCCTGTAATTCAGTGCATCATGGACAGAGATAGGGAAGAGGATCTGGTTCCTACTGACTTCCCCCTCAACTTCTTTGGGGGTTGTAGGCAACGAGATCTGGCTTCTTCCAAGAGTTATCTACCATCATAGGGCAAGATCTACCTCCTCCCAACATCTTTGGGGTGAATTAAGAGGTGAGCAAAAGAAGGGGCACTCTCTTAAGAGGCAGCTCAGCTTCATTCAGGCCCTCTGGTTTACTGCTCTTAATGTACACAAAAAGAGAACCACATGGGAGTCAAGGTTCAGTGGCACTTGGGGCTGAGCCTAGTTAGCTGCTTTGAGAGCTGTACTAACATACAGGTTTGAAAACAGGTCTGCCTCACTGTAGTATATAGGGACTAAAATTTCAGAGCACTCCTTTCCCCACCCCAGAAACACAGGGCCCTGCCAAAGAGTGAGACTAGTAACAGCTTCAGAGTCAGGGAGCTACAATGGCTCTCTGAAGGCCCCCTTCCTACCTCCTGTTCTGCGCATATCTTGGTGCGGGAGAGAACCTGGCCCATGTTGGCAGAAGGGTTACAAATGCTACTGACTATGCCAGCAGTGCTTTATTAAATTTCTTGTATTCTTCTTTAAGCGGACTCTCAGAAGTTACAAGCTTTATTACCCGTTGTCTGCCACACAGCACAGCGCATATAGTGCTACTTCCCTATATAGGTACGACTTCTCCACATAAGATCTCCTGAAAATCACAATCATTTTCTAGACATAAATGATCAGATATTTCCTTATTCCTGCTATTGCAAATAAGCAGTTATCAATGTTGACAGCTTATTTTAATGAGACCCAGTCCTGATATCTCATACTGCTGATAATTTAAATCCGGGACAGATGCAGATGTGCTTGTTATGTGGAACTATCATTTTCTTCAACTGCTAAGTTAACATACGAGTTCACACAAGTTTTAAATGCTCTTAGGCTTGTGATAAACACAATGGGCCCAACTCTCCACCACTCTGCACCTTATGCAGACAGTTACGCCAATGCACGTGTGTAGGACTCTACTGCAACAGAATGGGAGCATTTTATCCACACTGAGTCTCTGTTGCCTTGCACCAGAGCAGACCCCAAGTCACAGGGATACATTTGCTCACAGAGAGGTGATATGAGAGACTCAAGAATCTGCTCTTTCCATACTTCCAGCCCCACCCCAACTAATTACACAAAAATGCTCTCAAACAAGTAGGAAGGCAACTCAGTGATAAGCAAACCCATCACGTGCTCTTCCTTGGAACACTTTGCTGATACACTGTTCCTAAACGATATCCTCCAGGTGTTGATAATAATACTGTTTAACTTGCATCCTTTGAAGTGTGGGAAAGGACCTCGTAGGGGGGAGCTGAGATCTTCTCCTCCGGTACATTTTTGAAAACACCTGCCATTAGGTGCAATCTGGGGCACTGCAAAGACAAAATATTTGCTCTTCAAACATATTTTTGAAGCCTTAGGGATAAGTCATCCACGGCAGGACTCGTTTAGCAGATTGCAGAGAGGCTTAGCTCCATCAGGCTAGGGAAATCAAGAAAACCATCCTTTCAGTTGGTGGTAGAATTTTAACAAGTGGCTCCCAGGAGTCCTGCCCACAAATGCTCACCAGCACATTGCTGTGATACCTTGGCTTCTCTGACTGTTCATAATGCATTTTATTTTTTCCTTTGTACAAAAACAGATATAAAATTTAAATCCAATACAAAGTGAATACTAGCAATGACAAGTTTACATTACAGTAAAATAGGACGTCAATGCAAATGTGTTATCAAGACATTAGTTCTTTAAAACTTTACCTCAGTGTTACATGCATTATATAAAATAAACTGCTAGAGCTTTTCATCTAGTTCCACAAAAGATACCCAGTCATCAAGCCATTCAAGGGCAAAAATAGTGTTGAAGGGACATCTACAAACCCAAAGACATTTTCCACAGAAAAATCAATGCTAACAGAAATGGTTTGTTTAGTCATGCTCTTGTTAAAACCCTCCCACAAAAACTATGCATAAAATTCTTAGGACAGAAAAAGCTCAGTAAGTTTGTTAGCATAGGCAACCATTCAGTAGTTCAAAGAATCTTTTAGACATTTTGAAAAGGTATCATAGTTTTCAATTTGTATTTTCCCACAAAACCAGAACTACATTGACTCTTTTTTCAAAATCTAGTCACAGCAGGCTAAAAACTAGTTCTTGAGTGAAGTGAAAGTAGTGTACGAAAATATTTAACGGAACTAGCAAGGATGTATCAAATGAGTCTCTACTTTGCTTCTTAAGGAAAACCTTTTCCGTACTCAAGGTTTGTTTATTTGTCCCATAAACAAGACTGCACCTAAGGGATTAAATAAAGACCAATATTACTACATATATCCAATTTGTAAGTATTGTAGAGCATTCACTGAAAAATACATTTACAGAATGCATTCAAATAAAATCTAGGTAAGAAGGCTGTTTCACACTCCATGAGCTTTCTTTGTTTTGGTTAGGGGAACTGTAGATTAACAAACTATTTGTTTTTAGGTGAGTTTGGAGTGTATACGAATATAGATTCTCCCAAGACCCTCCCATACACTTTAAGGTCAGAAGGGACCATCATGATCATCTAGTCTGACCTCCTGTGGAGTAGGTTTTCCAGTTCTTCTGGTTTATTTTAAACAAAGTTAAAAGCATAATACAGAAGCATCTTTTGTATTTGTTTTAGCAGCACCTACTGGACAGCTTCAAGCTTTCCCACCTAGAAATTACAGTTTGCATGTAGTCATTATACTGTATGAACTCAACTTGCACGCAAAATAATACAAACTTTGCTTACCTGTAGGATTGTGACGGATGAAAAATACAAATGGTCTGTCTACTATAAACCAAGGAGGGGAAGACCTGGCTATTAAAATTGCAGCTTCCAAAGAAAGTGAAAGAAGAGAAAAATGGGATGGAAAATTAAACAAGCCAAACACTATCACACTACAAACAGTGCAAATATGAAGCATCAAACAGGTTTATGATTTGCATTCGATATTTGTTTGCTCCTTTAGATGTTCCATTTCACTATCATGCATCAGTTTATTAATTGTTTTATAATCACCAGTGGCAGCATGGGTCAGCCACAGGAGGCCATTTTATCCAATGCTATCTATTGCAAATGAGCCTTCTTATATTGCTCACCAGAACCACACAATCCATTCAAAAAAGAGAAGAACTAATAATTAACATCAAAATTCAAGATTGTTCCCCTACAGGAAAACCCAGCTGCCATCTTAGAGCAGTGTGGCATAAATGCGTGCCTCTGGAACAGCACAAGGAGGCATATTAGGAGCCAAGGATTTGGCCACTAAATTTTAAACTTGATGCTGTTCTATAGGTAGCTAGTGGAGTGAAGAGACTGTTTACAATTTGTGGAAGGCTATGTTTAACTAATTCTGTATTGACATAAAATTCACTTAAACAAAAACAAAAAACCACCTCTCAATGGTAAAATTCACTTGATTTTTTACTGTCCTTTCTGAGTATGTGCTTCTGCTGAAGTGATCTCAATTTAAGCGTTCACAAAAGGTTTCCCACTTCAGAGAAAATCTAATTAATTTGTTTTAGTATAGTTACTTTTAATTAAGGATTAAATTAAACCAGAGAGAGAACTACTTACTTGTTGCTGCAGAAGCTTTGGTTCCATCTTCACTAACTTCAATTTTTGCTTTTTGCAAAATATGAGATACATGAAGGCTTTCCGTTCCTGTGTGACCAAAACAAGAACAGCACTTGTATTAACATGCAGTTATACATTTGTTATACTGTATGTAAAGTTTTCCAAAGTAGTAAGTTTCTTGTATCTGGTAGACCAACTGTATAGCAGAGCATGAGAAGGCTGCTACAATTCTAGCACAGACTAGGGTTGCCAACTTTCTATTCACACAAAACCAAACACCCTTGCCCTGCCCCGCTGCATGCTGTCTCAGAGGCCCTGCCCCCCTCTCACTCCATCTCCCCCCTTCCTTCTGTCGCACACCCTCGCTCATTTTCACCAGGCTGGGACAGAGGATTGGGGTGCAGGGGATGATGGCTCCAGCTGAGGGTGCAGGCTCTGGTGTGGGGCCAGAGATGAGGGATATAGGATGCAGGAGGCTGCTCTGGGCTGGGACCCAGCGGTTTGGAGGGCGTGAGGGAGATCAGGGCTCGAGCACAGCGGCGGGGGGGCTCTGGGCTGGGACTGAGGGGTTCAGAGGATGGGAGGGGGATCAGGGCTGGGGCAGGCGCGGGGGAGGAGGGTCGGGGTGCAGGCTCCCAGCACCACTTACCTCAATCAGCTCCTGGAAGCAGCGGCATGTGCCCTCTCCGGCTCCTACGCAGAGGTGCGGCCAGGCGGCTCTGTGTGCTGCCCCATCCGCAGACACTGCCCCCCGCATCTCCCATTGGCCATGGTTCCTGGCCAATGGGAACTGCAGAGCCAGCGCTTGGGGCGCAGACAGCATGCTGAGCCCCTTGGCTGCCCCTATGAAATAGGAGCTGGAGTAGGGACATGCTGCTGCTTCCGGGAGCTGTGTGGACCCATGGCAGGCAGGGAGCCTGCCTTAGCCCCGCTGATCGGACTTTTAACAGCCTGGTCAGCAGTGCTGACCGGAGCAGCCAGGGTCCCTTTTCGACTGGGTGGTCTGGTCGAAAATTGGACACCTGGCAATCCTAGTAAAGATTGAAATCATGGTGTAGGCAAGAGGATTTTGTCCTGTTGTTAAGATGCAGTTGCTGGATCTGATCACTACAGAAGCAGCCAATCTGATGACACCAAGCAGAGAAAGCATACAATATGCTTCATGTAAAGGAATGGATTAGTGGGACTTCTGCGTGACTGTTTCTTATATAACCGTAGTATATCAGTTGTTAAATTGAGAAGTATTAACACAGGCACAGTGTTGCTATTAGTTAACACATACATTAGCCAAAGCACAGAAAGAGTGCTAATATGAAATTTAACACACTAAACAAGTCTGCTATGGCATTTGTGTATACATGCCATTGCAGTATTAGCACATGCTTGTGTATATCATTAAAACAAACACATGGTGATGGACAATGTCCAAAATCAGAATCTTTTGCCCTGGCTTTATTTAGTGATGCAGAAATCAGTGGCACAATTCACTCACTGATTAAGTGCATTATGTTTATGATGACAGTAATAAAATAAATGGGATAGAAAATGTCTAGGTGACTGGAGGACATAGTTTACCCTAAAGATGCAGCAACACAAATCATTTTTAAAAACTACTGGTACAATCTTAGATTCTGAGCTTATTTTGTGGTTTTAAAGGTAAAACTGAAAATTTGTAATCAGAGTAATTTTTTCTTAAATACAGAAATTATAGCAACAGGTAATACAATTTAAATTCATCCTGAGTACCTTAAAAACTGTTTAAATAGAACACTTTGCTTCCAATAAAATAAAGGACCAAGGGCTCACAATTAATTGCAGTAAACTCACGTGATTAACTCAAAACAAATTAACTCAATTAAAAAAATTAATCGTGATTAATCAGTTTTACTTGCACTGCTAACCAATACCAATATAAATTATAAATATTTTCTACATTTTCAAATATATTGACTTCAGTTACAACAGAATACAAAGTGTACAGTGCTCACTTTATATTATTTTTATGACAAATATTTGCACTGTAAAAAGGATAAACAAAAGAAATAGTATGTTTCAGTTCACCTCATACAAGTACCGTAGTGCAATCTCTTGATCATAAAAGTGCAACTTACAAATGTAGAATTTTTTTTTTAAAATAACCGCACTCAAAAACAAAACAATGTAAAACTTTAGAGCCTACAAGTCCATTCAGTTCTACTTCTTGTTCAGCCAATTGCTAAGACAAAAAGCTTGTTTACATTTACGGGAGATACTGCTGCCTGCTGCTGATTTACAATGTCACCTGAAAGTGAGACCAGGCATTTGTATGGCACTGTTGTAGCCAGCATTACAAGGTATTTATGTGCCAGATATGCTATACAGTCATATACCTCTTCATGCATCGACTTGTACATTGCACTTTTATTACCGTGCAAATATTTGTAATAAAAATAATGTGAAATGAGCATTCTACACTTTGTATTCTGCGTTGTAATAAAAATCAATATATTTGAAAATGTAGAAAAACATCCAAAATATTTATAATAAATTTAAATTGGTATTGTTAATGTTTAACAGTGTGATTAAAACTGCAATTCATTGCAATTAATTTTTTTAACCGTTTGATAGCCCTTAAAAGAACTTAATCTCTTATTTCAAGTGGAGAAGTGTATAAGAGATATAAATGAGTTGTGTTAACAAGCAAGGTCTTTTTGTTTTGGATGGTTTTCCCCCCCCCCCGAGTAACTAATCAGAAATCTGATGGCGACATAAAATTCATAGCCACAAGACATCCAGTTCTCTTTTAGAAGTCAGTGCTCCATTGTCAGAAAGAGAAAAAAGTTTATGGATCAATTAGGCAGTTCAATGACTGTTCCATTTTTACTCAACATTACCATCAATTTGGCAGACATCCTTCCTTTCTCTCAAGTCTGTTGATGCAAAGTTTATAAAACAAATTGTAAAAGAAAAAAAGTGCCTCAATTACATCTTCCATTATGGTCTCATCTAACATGATTTTTTTGTAAGCCAAAAGGAAAAATATTGAAGAAAATGTACGACTCTGACTGTGAAAATGCCTCATAACATTTTATTTACTTCTCGCAAGACACACCATATGGTTAACTTTGTTATTAATTTAGAAGTTTGCCTTTTGGTGGAAATGTTTCAAAGCAGCAGGTTGTTTTAATAATTGCAATTGTAAAACAGCAGTTCTAGAAAACGTGAACAAAAACCGGAAGAAGAAGAATTTAAACAAGACAACCTACTTGTTATTTTTGCAAAGTTTGCCTTTGACTGCTCAAACAGATCTGTAATGCCAAGTACTTTCAGAGGCTCCTTTAAATCTGTTTCTGCTACTGCTGTGAACCTGATTGCAGCATGCAAAATAGAAGAGACATCAGAATTATGACTAAATGTTGCTTTAAGCGCTGAGAAGGACTATAGAAGAATTCCTTATTTTGGGGGTTGGGGGGGGAGAAGAGACTGGAAGATATTAGTACTCACTTGGGTAAAATAACTTGCACTCTCTTTTGTATCATGGTTGTCATCCAGCTCTGTATTGTTTTTGTGCTGATGTGAGGAATGATGGCAGAGAGAGGGGTAGTGCTTTCTGTAGGCAGAGCAATCAACATACTGATGCTTTCGCCATGGTAAGGCAATTCAATTATGTTATACCACAAGTCATTTGGGGTACTTGTTGTGCCTAAGGAGAGGGAGAGAGAGAAGTCATAATTCTCAAACAGTTAAAAGCCTTCAACCTCGGATATTCAAAAGCAGTAGTGAGTAAAAATGTTAAACCTATTGGCAAAGCTTTAATATTATTGTAACTGTAAAGTCTCAATGTCACAGTTGGGTTACCATCTTCCAGTAGAGTTCACTTACATAACAAGCATGGAGTCTATATAAATGTTACATTTGATAATGCAATGCAGACAGAGCCAAAAAATCTACTCTATGGTGTCTCAGATTAGTTTCTACAAGTTACATGAATATTACTTGGTGGATTGTTGGAGTTCCTTTGAAAATATAAATAGCCATGCTGCAGCCTGCTTCAGAGTCTCATCAGCATCTACTGAAACGGTAGTGGGTGGGAGACATGATGGAAATAAAAGACCATCCAAAAGAGAGCACGAGATTCCTTTTGTAAAGCAGGTTCTCTTTTCCTCTAAGGACTATGGTACACTGGGGATCAGAAAGAGTCTTTAACAGTCTCTGCCAACTGCCACACCATCTGCATTTGAACCCCTTTGAATCTTGTGCTGCTTCTGAACTGTGAGTAAAAGAGCCTACTGCTACAGTTCACCAAGGAGACTCCCCTGGAAACAGTAAGGTAGGCAAGTAAAGGACACATAACAATAAGAACAGAGGGTAGCCAAAAAAAAAAAAAAAAAAAAAGACAAGCTTAGGAACTTAGATATTGCCCAGGATAGGACTGCCAGCAGTTTGTAAGCACATGATGCACAACAGATTGTAGCAGGCCACTGACTATCTGTAATGTGCAGGACCATATTCAGTGGGTACACATACATGGGGTCTCATCCAAAGGCCACTGAAGTCAATAGGGGTCTTTCCATTATTATTAAAAGATGCAAAATCCTGTTAGTGTTTTAAAAGGCAGTTTTCAGTATGGGATCGTTCAAAAGATTATTGGATTTTTTTGTCCCATGTGATGCTACTTTAGCAGCAGTTTATTGTGGCTAGACATAAATCCAATGGTGCATCCTAATAAAACTTTCCAGCATAAACACCTACATACAAATTATGCTAGCATTCAAACTGCTGCTGGTAATCCACCAGGGACCATAACTACTCTAGTTAAAGACCATAATTACATCAGTAGCATACTATTATGAGCATAGTAGCATACTATTTCCATACCACTTGGAAACAAACAAAAAACCCAGACTATCGTCTTCCTTGTTCTGTTATGGGATATTAGGACATGAAACTGAAAGTACTATGCAATAACACTAACAGGGCTGATGAAAAGCACAACAGGCTTGTTTACCAGTTGGAAAAGAAAGTAGAAAAAAAAAGTCTAGCTACTTGAATGGATCTTGATCAGCAAAGAATACATATGGAGACAGAGTTACAAGAAAATAAGTGGTCAAAAAGGCTAAGGGAACTGAAAACCATTTTATATGTTCCAGGACACAATTTATCTGGGAAATGGACTAAAGTTCTCCTTATTTTATAGTTAACAGAAAAAAGGAAGAAGTTAACAAATTAAGTTAATCACAAACTTGTTTCACAATAACATCTCTTCTCACAAAAAGAAAGCAATAAAAAGACATCCTGAAATTTATTCAAGAGTAAAGAGATTTCCACAAGTAGCTCCTATTGCTGGTAAAGCATTACACACCATAATAGGCCTCCAGCCAGCTCAGCTCATGCTAAAATTCTTAAAAGACCCCTTTAACTATCAAGACACTAACTGGTACTTTAACAAAACATCACAGGTGTTAGTCATGGAGGATTACAGCTAGCAGTTTATCTATAGATGTCCCATCTCAGAGGACTGCATTGCAACTTGAAGATCCATTAGCAATCTGAGAGTCTTTCCTATGTCTAATTAATAGCATTTTATTTAAATTAAATTAAATAATTAAAGCTAATTATTTTCTTTACTTTTCTGGAGACACGTTGGAGGCTGATAGACTCTAATAGGTTGGTTTCCTAATCAAAGAGATTCCTTTTTGTGACAGGGAATCCCTTATCAACTAGAATTCTTACCATCAGCAGCTGGGTGGACAGCATGCTGCCTACATATTTAGCTGAAAAGCACTTACTTGTAAGACCACGAAGGAAACTCTTCCCTCAGTGTTATGCTCTATGCATTTAGATTCTGTTGTAACATTGTCTTGAGTGGACAGTCCCTTTATAGGGTTGCCAACTTTGTAATATTTAAAAACTAGACACACCAGTAGGAGTGCCAGAACCTCCTCCGCCCCACCTCTTCCCTCCAAGGCTCCACCCCATTCACTCCTCTTCCCACATCTCCTCATTGTTTGCTGCTTTTCCCCTCTTACCTCCTGCTCCCCTCTCCCTAGGTTGGGAGGGACTCGCAAAGCCGGGCTGGGAATTGCAGCCATCCGATGCAGGTAGGAGGCAGCCCCAGCTGAATAGGGGTTGGCAAAGGTGATGACCCAGTGCCTCTGCTGCCACCTGTAACTGGACTTTGGGTATCCAGACTGTACTGCTGACTGGACACCCAATCAAGTCCCTTTTTCAACTGGATTTTCCAGTCAAAAACCAGGCAGCTGGCTACCCTAGTTGAATAGGGTCCCTCTTCCTGCTCCACCCTTTTTTCAGTTAATATGGCTTTTTAGACAAGTGCCAAAAGAACAAGTTTCATCAGAGCAGACTTAAAGGAGTCTCTCAGATGAGAAGAGCTCGTCTATGTGCACAGATCACAATGTGCTAGAGACTGATATTTGGGACAGAGTCACTACACAGCAGCAACATCTCACTACACTTCCCACTCTGGATCAAAATCCCCATCTGCATGCCAACCCAAATTGATGAGGGATTTCTGTACCAGAAAATTAACCTTGTTAGCAGAACTCTGCAACCTTAAGACTGCTTGCATGAAATCAGCTCATTACAGAGATGGCAGAAGGGAGCAGTTACCTTACCTCTTTTTCTAGCTCACCTCCTTTTCCAGCTCAACTAAAGAAAATGTTTTCTGTCTCATTATCTCCTTTACGTTAAGCTTGTAGTTCTCAAACTAGTGGTCCGCAGAGAGCCTGGTGATTACATGTTGACAGCTTCCCTCATTCACAATGGCTAAATTACATTTAAAAAGAGCAACACACACTTTACTTTCCCATACTACGTTTCCAAACAGTTGCTGTAGTTGCCATAGGATGCTGTGATCTTCAGAGCTGAAAATGGGCATGGAGGGTATCTACAAGATGTTTTTGCTCCTCAGATGCTTCTCACACTACTAAGAAATCTGAGAACCTCTGCATTCAACTGTATTAAGACACCTAACCTGAAACATGTGTTTCAATTCTGAAACAGGAAGCTTAATACTTTCCATCTAAAGGCCTTGAAAATAATGGCCTTGATTCTAATCACAGTTACAACAATGTAATAAAAGAGTTACTCCCTATTTACATCAAATTCTGGCCCTATGAATTTTAGGGTAATACAAGAATTGTAAGCAAGACCTGACCGTGACGTGTGGTCATTTGCTGAAGTATAGATCCTAAATATTTCAATACGTGATTTTCATTCACAGCTCTCAAGTTTTATCTGTCTTAAGCATTTAATTTTTGCTTTAATGTGTAAAGATTTTCAGGACATGGCCAAGGTACAAAATAGTTTCATATTTTTTAAACCAGAGAGTGATATATTTTTAAGCTCCTATGTTGGCTAAACGAGCACATTTTTAACACTGATCACTTATAAGCGAAAAAATAGAGGCAATACATTTATGTTTGCCCTCTTGGCAAGCTGATGGTACATTCCTTTACCAGTAACATTATTTTTTCAGATATATTTCTACATTTATTCACTGTAACAATGTTTAGTGCATACAAAAGCAAGTTACCAATAGCATGTCTCTCATCTTAGACCACAGGCAGAAAACATGCATACACACTTCTAAAAATGCTGCCAATGCACTGTGAGCCTGACCAGCAAAACCCATTTCAGTACTCAGGTTTCAGAGTAACAGCCGTGTTAGTCTGTATTCGCAAAAAGAAAAGGAGTACTTGTGGCACCTTAGAGACTAACCAATTTATTTGAGCATGAGCTTTCGTGAGCTACAGCTCCGATGATGCATCCGATGAAGTGAGCTGTAGCTCACGAAAGCTCATGCTCAAATAAATTGGTTAGTCTCTAAGGTGCCACAAGAACTCCTTTTCTCATTTCAGTACTGGAACTCTTGAGTAGAGGCTGCCAGTCATGTGGGCTTCTGTTCTGGTTTTGTGACAGACATAGAAATTAGGCTGAATCCAGTGAACTCCTTTTCACTTGCAACCCAATTTAGAATTTAAATGCTGGCCTCCAGAGGTAAACAACTAAAATACTAACCCTGTGCTACTCAGTCCCTTGGTTTAATGGCTATTGTCTGAAAAGCTGTTTCCAGCTGTCCACTACTTCAGAATCTAAACTGAATTTAAGCATGCTTTGTTTACACTTATTATGGCCTGCTATTAAAGAACTCTGTATTTTAATTTTTATTTGCAGATTTTTAAAGCATATTCCTTCCCACAATATATGGGTAAAATACAATATAAAAACAAAGTAATTCTAAGGTTTTCTACTTTAGATAGGTTTTTGATTAAGGACAGGACACATTTTATTTCTTATCTATTTGGCCAAAGGTTTTGAACAGGAGCATCTAAAACAATGCACCTAAATAAAAGTCACCCGATTTCCAAAGGTGCAGACCATTCACAGTTCTCAAGGTTTAATCCACAGGAGATACGAGTTTGAAAAGTTTTCCCACTTACCCAACAGTAGCTTTCAACACAAATATCTACTCAAACAGGAATGCTATGTATCCCCCCCACAAACACATACATTAACCTTCTTTGCCTACATTTTGAAAGGAGTACAGTGCAAAAAGTTTTGTGTTTCATTTACAAGAAACTAGCTCCTGAGCTTACCACAGCGGAACAGAGACAACTGGGCCAGCATAGGTACTTGGTAAGTCTTCCCATCAGCTCCATTAAATGTGCGTTTCTTTGTATTTTCAGGTTGAAAACGAGATTTCCATAAGCCTTTGAAATACACCGCATTTACCAGCGCCAACCTGGTCAAAGCACCATCAATAATGTCTGGAGATAAGAGATTATCAATCATACCTGAAAATAAAATAAAAAAGGAAGGGGGGAAATTGAGCATTTTCTGTCACAATGTAAGCCAGTTGGTCATGAGGAAACAGAAGTGCCAATGTACTTTGTAATTCACTAGGTAACATTCATTCTGAATTGGAGCAAAGATGGCTGCTAACTCCAGCCTGAAGAATTATAGCTCCGCTCATTTCAGGGCCCGCTGACATCAGTGGAGTCATTTTACTGAGTATAGTGGCAGCTGTATTAGGATCTTAGTTTTCACTAGCAAGGGAACACTAGCACCCATCTAAGAGTTGTGCTCAGGTAGGGAGTTATTTAGCAACATTTGTTGTGTGCTTAGTTTAGTAAACAATTAAGGCTGAATCAGCCACAGCCTGGAAATGAAAAGTTAAAAGGAAAAATCTCCAACACTTGTTGCCACCCATCTATTGCCTTTACCACAATCAATGACACACTGCAAGCATCCCCATGATGTCACTCATCTCCCAACAGATACCAAGATGCAACACAAGCTAATTATGCTGTAATGTAAAACCCGAACTCTGGCCTCAGCAATATGTAGATAATTTTGAATAATGGGAGTGGTAGGTTTTGCAGTTTCTCTTTGTTTATGAAAATAACATCACTGGAATTAGCTTCATAGAAGTGACTCTTAAAGGACAATAGATACCATGCATCTCCAAGTAGTTAGGCAAGGTGCACCCAAGTTTAAAAAAAAAAAATACTAGGGATAAGTTGAGATGCTGTAGTGTCTTCCCACCACTTTTAAAAAACTTTTTACCTCTCTCTTAACTTTAGTGTGTCTATAAAATAAGTGTTTAACATAGTTACACAAAAAATTCAATACCTACCCCTTGTTTCATTTTTCACCCACTGGTTTATGGAATTGCATGCTGCATTTTTGTCCTCGAAATCCACCGTCTTGACACTGCACTGAAACACCTCTTTGTTTCTTGTAACAAAAGGCACTTCCATTTTAAAGCCACTCTTTACAAACACTGCATTAGCAACTGTCACAATGTCTTTATTCTTCTTTGAGACTATGGCCTTGTTTATCTTCTTTAATACTTTACCAACTCCTAGTTAGAAATAACAGCAAGTTTTATTTAGAAAGGAAAATCAAAGAGAAGCTTTAAAGGAGTTAACTTGTACCAGTAATTACGGACATCCACACACACACTAACATGATGGGGTAAAGAAAGAATACCAATGCCATTGACAGACATTCTTAAACACTCATCTGAGCAACAGGATCTCTGACTTATCTGAAGGACACTACTTCACAGCGAAGAATTTGGCTCTTTGTCTAATCCTTGTACTGTTCATCAGAGTCCTGGTGTGGTATATTAATCAATAACTTTCTGGCATGGACAATACAGTTAAAATGTTTATTCCTGAATAGGTACAAACAAACAAAAACAATCTAGTTAAACTGTCATCAATTACACTAGAGAGCCACAACATAAATTAGGCTGCAACATCCTGACCCTATGCTGACATGTTTACAGCACTGCAACTTAACACAATACTACAATGTTATTTTGTGGATGAGAGTCCTCATCTTCCCAGCAGCTACAACTGAATAAGGATATTCATTCTGGCCACTCAGAGTAGAAGGACCAGGGGAACTACCCTTATTCCTGTGCCTAAGAGGCAGAAGTCATGGGGGGGGGGGGGCAGGGACTAAGACCATAAACTGAAAAACTAAGGTAGTCATTTTTGATCCCTCCATTCCATTCAGTAAGGAATAGGGTGGATATAAAAAAGTTTTCTGGAAACTGTGTGCTAACCAAAAAAGAGAGAGAGAGACCGACCTTTGGAAAGTTTCCGGAACAAACTAAAATTAAATCTGAAGACTAGGCTACACTAGTAAGGAAATTCAGTATTAGACTCCAACATCTAATCGGAAGCAGAGTATTTATCCAAAGGTATCAACTATTAATAGGTTGCAATATGCTCCATAAAAGTCTCTATGAAAGAGTGGTCTTCCAAGGAAGGTGTTATGACCCCCGTAAGTGTAGACATGCCCTTAGAGCAGCACAGGAAAACTATTACATTGGTCACACCTCAGTTCGGTCATTAATGCTTCTAAACAAGCCACACAAAAAAGGAGCTGAGAAGGGAAAAAAAGAAAGCAAAAGATTCAACAACCACCATTTCAGCTCCATGTAGGATAAGTCCTCAATAGTTGGCCCTGCTGGTTACATTACTGTGACTCCTTTAGTAAGACAGATCACATGATCTCCGTGTATTCACTGTCTTCAATATTATGGACATATTCTTTTGGTGAGCATACCATAACAGATGTTTTCAAGTTAGTCTGTACCCCACAAGTCATCCACTGAAATTTGCTGGTGGTTTAGGGAGAGCTGGCTGCGCACATGGTACTGGCTCTCCTCCTTGCTTCTAGATACTAAATTGCATTAAAAGATAGCTAAAAATGCTTTAAATACGTCCCTAGAGTTACCTTTCCAAGTAAGCAACTTTTGTAGCTGTCACAGGGTTATTAGGCAATCATGAACAAGAGAAGAGGAGGTCCATGCAAACATAAAAAAGGTGGTGGTCCATGAGACTCTTTATATTAAGATATGGGTCACACTACAGAAAAGTTTGTCTCATGTGTCTAGGATTGTTAGACTAAGTCAACCAAAACCGAATAAATTCATTAATTTTGAAGCATTGAAACTCTTGCAAATAGCTATGTTTAGAAAACTCAAATGCTTTTAAATTCAAGATTACCCCATAAAAGGATTTGAATCTTCAACATTTGGATATTTTATTAAGCAACACTAAATCATTTAGCTGTACCCAACACAGAAAACTGCACAGCAAAGCAATTAAGGAGGGGACAGTGTGTTACAGGAAAACATCAACATTGCTCATTCTTTATAGGTCTGAAAATGTACTCACCTTTTGGAAGGTTTCACATTTCATAAACACAGCTCCTTTAAGATTCTGTAAGTGCCAGCATTCTGTGCTGCTGCTAAGCCTCACTGGCATGCTAAGAAGCAGCAAGTACTCTCACCCTACTCTCTAGAGGAAAGGAACTGGTAGAGGAATAACAGGGATTTATGCCAATGTCAGGAACAGAGACTGAAAGAAAGGGATGTTTGAATAGAAAGGCGGCCCGGGAAAGGCTAGAGAGTCTGGGATCTTGACAGAAGAAACAGAAGCAAAGCCAAAAAAGCATCAAAAGATCCAAAAGAGAGCCCGCCAACTAAATGGGCTCAGAGGCCTATAAGAAACTAAATATAAAAATAATTTTATTGCCCAATAATTTCTGAAATCTTAAATTAAAGGCTGTTGTAGTACAACAGGGATAGAGGCATTGCAATCTACCCATACTATGCTGGCATTGGACTTCAACTTTGTGCTGCAGAGATTATCTGTAAAGCTACAAGGACTGTTTAGTCTCATTCATTTCTTGGCCCCTTGGCTGAAACTGCCAACAAGGTCTGTATCCTGGGACAGTCCCAAAACATGTGAGCCAGTGTGGCTCTACGAGACCCAAATCTCCAGCAGAAATATATTTTGGCAAGGCCACACACTGTAACCTACACAGGAACCAGTATGAACAGCAACAACAAAAATGATCACCTACCTTTCGTAACTGTTGTTCTTCGAGATGTGTTGCTCATGTCCACTCCATTCTAGGTGTGTCCGCGCCTACAGTTGTCAGACTTTTGCCTTAGCAGTATCCGTAGGGTTGGCTGTGGCGCCCCCTTGAGTGCTGTGCTCATGTGTCAGTATATTAGACACTGCCGACCCGACACCCTCTCAGTTCCTTCTTGCTAGTAACTCCGACAGAGGGGTAGGAGAGCAGGTAATGGAATGGAGATGAGCAACACATTTCAAAGAACAATAGTTATAAAAGGCAGGTAACCGTTTTTTTTCTGCGAGTGCTTGCTCATGTTGATTCCATTTTAGGTCACTCAAAAGCAGTATCTATGGAGGTGGGCTCAGAGTTCACAGTTTCACAGCTTGCAGTACTGCCCTACCGAAGCCAGCATCATCCCAGGCCTGCTGGGTAAGTGTGTAGTGGGATGTAAACGTATGGATGGATGACCAAGTGGTCGCCCTGCAGATGTCCTGGATAGGCACCTGGGCCAGAAAAGCAGCCTAAGAGGCCTGTGCCCTGGTCAAATGGGTGGTGACAATCGCCAGGGGCAGCACCTTCGCTTGATCATAGCAGAAGCAGGCAGTGATCCAAGAAGAAATTCTTTGGGCGGATACACGGTATACTTTCATACTGTCAGCCACTGCAATGAACAACTGTGTAGACTTATGGAATGGCTTGGTCCTGTTGATGTAGAAGGCTAGAGCCCTCCTAAAGTCCAAGGCATGCAATCTAAGCTCCGTTTCTGACTTATGCGGCCTTGGAAAGAAGACTGGTAAGTAAAGGTCCTGGCTTGAATGAAACAGAGATCACCTTGTGCAGGAAAGCCAGGTGGGGTCTCAACTGGATATTGTCCTTGTAGAAGACCATATAGGGTGGTTCGGAGGTGAGCACCTGAATCTCCGAGACACGGTGGGCTGAAGTCACTGTGGCCAGGAATGCAATCTTCCAAGACAGAAGAAGGAGAGGACAGAAAGCCAAAGGCTCGAAAGGATAACCCGTGATAGCACTAGGTTCAAGTCCTACAGGGGAACAGGGTCCTCGACATGTGGGTAGAGGTGCTCAAGGCCCTTGAGGAATCTGGCCATCTGGGAGATCCTCTAAGATCAACCAGTTGATCACGATCAACCGGTTGGTGACCACTGATGTACAGATTAGGTAGAACAAAGGTCTATGAAGAACCGCTCGTGCTCTTGCGAATGGCAAGACGAGGCACTCCAACCTCATGGGAGGTAAGAAGGAGCTAAGAGGGCGTTGGGTCAGTGGCGCCTAATATACCGATGTATGGGTGCAGCACTCAAGGGGGTGCCACAGCTGACCCTACGGATACTGCTAAGGCAAAAGTCTTCAACAACTGTGCACGTGGGCGCGCACGCACCTAGAATGGAATCAACATGAGCAAGCACTCGAAGAAGAAATAATTTTCTGCTGGATCAGTCTTAATTGTAGATCAATAGTAGAGCTTTTAAATGGTTTGCAAGGCACTTCCCCACAGGCCAGGGGTCAACAACACACACCAATCTTTGTTCCAGTCATGGTACAGGCAATCTAAATTCAGGAGGATCTTTTGGGTCAGGAAGACATAACAGGCTACAGATGTTCAGGTGAACCTAGAGAGCTCTCTACACATCACCAATTCTGGAGTCTCTGGTGCTCCCAAGCACATCCGGATCAAATGTGTCCTTCAAGAGATGCTTAAGCTGCACGTAATGCCATGTAGCTGGACCAAGTAGATTGTATTGTTGTTGGAGGAGTACTTGGAATGGCAGAAACTGATTTTCTGAGCTCAAGAGACTCAAATTATCCCCATATATCTTTCCATATCCTCCACATAAATAGTTTATAGGTCACCCCAAAGCATGGCACCAACATCAGTGAGAAGGGATGGAATTTGAATTTTCTACCTAAACTGGGTCCATGTTTATCTGGTAGCCTATATTGTAGGAGACATTTTAGGAGGTATGGCCTTCTCTTCGTGCTGATCACTGTTTACTAAAACTGGCTTGTGATGCAAAGAATGTAGCAGAATTTGAAGAACCCCCCATTAAAATATATTGTCCTTCCAGCCTTAAAAGTTTATGAATCACTGTATAAAAAACCTGCATAACAACAGATAAAAACTGACCATTTACGCTGTATCTCATCACAGTTGTCAGCTGCTTCTTTGTCTTGCCATCAGCACCCAGCTGAAGTATTCCCAGTACAGATGCAATCCCATGTGGAGAAACCACAATATTCTCCTGAGGTCTAGCTTTGACTATCTGATTGAAAACTTGGATTCCAATGTCAGAGCCAAGTTCCTCAAGAGATAAAGGATTGAACTGGGACCACACAGATGTTAAAGTCACAGCGGTGAAAAGGAGAAGGAAGTGCCAGTTCATGATTTCTAAACAAAAATAACCTAAAGGAGACAAAAAAAAAACAGAAAAAAAAAAAAAAAAAAAAGTTAAAGACCACTTTCATGAGCATAAAAATTCTCTGCTACACTTACATGCACTAAATGCAGTGTAGTTGTAGCTGTCTCTCTAACATTAGACAAAGTCAGGCATATGTAGTGGATGTTTTGTGAAAATTTTACATAGCTTTGCCAATAAGCCTCAAACCTCAAGTTCAGTACCCCTACTATTCCAAGTCCAGAGCCTTCCAGAAGCAGAAAGAATGACAATTGTGCTGAGTCATATGCTTATTTTATGCTGCAGGTAAAACTCCACTAAAACAGACTAAGTCCAAGTTCAGTTACCTGTGTCTTAATAGACTCTGATCCCGGTTTTAAGACATCAAACTATCACAACACTCATACAATTGGATTTAGAGTGCACTACTTCTGATTAAGGCAAGTACACCATAACATCTTCACAAGGATAGTTGATGCACTTGTACACACAATAGCCAACTGTCCATCAAAAGCAGAGATGCATGTATGCACACAAGAGAAGGAGGACAAGTGATTTGAAAACAGACCTGACACCTGCAGTTAACTCTGAAATACAGTAGTCCAATTTACTTTACATTTTTATTGGTTAACTTTAGGCATAATTGGCATTTTTCACAGAGAAGAAAGATTACTAATATTTGCTAACTTCTCAAAAGCTGGTATTGTGTTTCTAGTTTTTCCAAATATGATTTTCTACTAAGAGTCACCCAGTTAGCTTATAGTAAAGCATAACTGCATTTGAATTGTTCTGTATTATAAATACTACCTAGCTTTTATATAACAGTTTTCATTTGCAGATCTCAAAGTGCTTTACGAAAGGATGTCAGTATCATCAATCCCATTTTACAGATGGAGAAACTGAGGCACAAAGAGGGCAAGTGCTCCAAAGTCACCAAGCAGGCCAATGACAAGCCAGGAATAAAAACCAGGTTTGAGTTCCAACCAGAGCTCTATCCATAAGACAACATAGCTCTCCTATGAAGCTTTATTTGTAGGAGCACAGAGGTTATAAAATAGATGTGTCATTGAATACAACTTGATAGTGATAACTTGGTCCAGCATAATTTATGGAGTAACTGATCATCTTTTTTCCTCTTGCATATTTGAAATGCATCATCCTACTTGCATATTTGAAGAGCTCAGATTTTTCGGACGTTAATAATGCACTAGTACATCACCCTTTACTGTCTTTTGAGGTCTTAGTTGTTCCAACTATAAAACCTTCTTTTCCCTCACCATAGGAGACTTGTTTATTATTTGCACTAATATGGACTAGTGTGTATTCCAAAAACTACTTAGAAGGCTCCAAAGCAGTAGCCCTTGAACATACAAAAGTCACTAGTTACCTGGTTTACTGAAGACCAGTTACAAAAATCATTATCTAATAAGTCTTTATAATATATGTATATAAAGGTTATATACACTCAATAAAACTCAGATAATTTGTATAGTACATGCAAAAGCTCTATGAATGGTTTCATTCCTTCTCCCTTTGAAGATCCTGACCTCTGTTGCATTTGCAGTTTCCAGAGAGCACTAATTGTACAAGTCATTCATATACACAGTGACTTTCAGTGCAAATCTGGCAATGTCCAAAATCAGCACTGTACTGAAATTTGAATAGTCATTTACATTAGAGCAAATGGATTACAAAGGAGATGTAAAACTCTACCAGGTCAGAATGGGAACAGTTTGCACCCATCTTGCATGAGTGTAAATGACTGCACAAGGTGCAAAGCAACAACGATCGATCAGTGTACTTGAACTCTGCTAAAACCTTGGAAACGGAAGAACCAGAAATGCTGTATTTGTCAAGGCTATAGCATAGTTCAAGGGATATAATTCAATCATGGTTTCCTCCTGTACCGCAGATGGAACCAAGGCACAATTTAAATGCACCCAAGAATAGCCATGACCCAACCTAGTCCCCCAGCACAATTGTATTTGTAGTGTATCCAGAGAGATGTATCCAGAGAGAAATTCATGGGTCTTGGTTTACTAAGTTATCTAGAAAAGGAATTCAGATTCAGTATTTCACGTATATATGCATGTTACAGTCCTTAGTTTGGAGGGGAGATAGCTTTTTATTTTAGGATTTGAAGAACCGTTTGCCTATGTTCATTTTAAACGTCTTGCCTATCAACCTAAAGTGGTGGCCCTTTAAACTTTTTTAAAAAATTTTTAGAACCATTCTTAAAAAGGATTGATGTAAAAGCAACTATTAGTTTGCAAAACAGTGAGTTGGAGTTCTCTGAGCATAGTGCAGACTAAACTGGATTTGAACAGTAGCAGTTGATAAAGTTTTTAAGGGGAACTACAGAGGTAACTGAGATCCTATCCACATCACAATACAATACAACCACCATGTTAGTTACAACACAGTTGATAGCAAGAATCTAGTACAGTTTCCTTGACCTGTACAGGTAAGATTTTTTTCCCCTTGTCCTCCTCCCCCAAGAACCATGACATAGGCTAGAGCTGGACCAATAATAGGAAAAATTATTCAGTCAATTAGATGAACTAGAAGCTGAATTTCAATCCATCATGTTGACTATTAGTTTTGTTTATGAACATTCTTACTAGTAGGGTTTACTTGTACTAATATATTTGTAAACAAACTTAAGTGTCAAATTTTGTTTTGGGTAGATGAGGAAATAATAGACTTCCTCCTTTTCAAAGTTTGTCCAGACCAAGAGGGAGGAGGAGTGGTGGTGAAGGTGTTGTTTCTTTGATGTAAGTCACTATGTCCTGCCATTTGTAGGCAAGCCAGGTTATGACAATGAAACTATGCTGGTAATGTCCATGTTAAGCTTGCCTCCTGGCCTACATGCATCTTTTTGACTGACAAACCCTGACAAAAAACAGGAACTCAGTAAATGCACTCGGTAGATAGGTGAAACAGTGATGTAAATGGAACAAGATCAAGTGTCTGAACAATACATTGTCACTGAACAGTATTGCCAAAACCCTAAACCAAAGCTTTTGCATAACACGTTTAAACAATATTAACGGGACACTGGATTTTACACTTTGCAGGACTAGGCAAAAACTCCAATCAGAGGCAATTAAATAAACAGATAAGGATATTGCTGCAATCTGCATGGCTTGGGACCATGCATGTACATGCCAATATGCAATTACTCTTAAATCGGATCCCAGAACTAATTCTACAACAGGTAATTTTATTTATTTAACAATTATGTGCCAGGCAAGGCCTGACTCAAGGAGCTTGGTAAAGAAAGATTTTAAAATATTCTAAAAATTCCCTAATCCTGTCAGCCTAGTTCCTCCCAGCTCCACAAACTGTCCTAATCCTCTCTCTGAGAGAAGCAAGAGATCAGGATGGGTATAATGAAATCCCAGTTTTCTGCATTCATCCAATCAGGGAACAGAAACAATACCATGTGACAAAAATCACCAGTCTCAGTAGATATGGCACAAGTACAGTTCACAATCAATCCATATGCTGAAATATGTTCATATTGACTCTTCAGACAATTAGAAATGCATAAATACGAAAAAAGTTAGAATTCGCTTGTGAACAGAAAAATGGATTCGCTCATCAGATAAATTGTTATAAATAGCTCACACAGCTTTAAGAGGACACCAATATTTTTCTTCCATACTGTTTAAGCATGAATGTAGCACTGTAGCAGCTTGCAGCAAATATAGAAGAGAGAGCTTAATATTGATTGTCCATGTTCTCAGAGTCAAGTCAGGTTTGTTTTTTGCTTTTATGATTCAGTGAACAATTTACAGTCTCTCTTATGTCAACTTCCCCAGAAGTAACACCATCCCTGCCTAACCTCCCTTGTTAAGACAGACAGAGAAACAAGCACTGAAATGGTAAAGGGCTGTGCTTAGCAGGTGCCTGCTGACTAAGTAAAAGTTTGTCCCCTGCCCCCTCCACCCACCAGCACCCCTGGGGGAGACTCAGTGCCCCCTGCCCCATTCCCCCATCAGCATCCCCGGGGAAAACTGGACCTCCCGCAGATTCCCCTGCCCCATCCCCCCACCAGTGCCCCTGGGGGAAACCCAGTGCCCTCTGCCCCATCCCCTCATCAGCACCCTTGGGGGAGACTCTCTGCCCCCTGCCTCATCCCCCCACCACTGCCCCTGGGGGAGACCGGACCTCCTCCAGTTCCTCCTGCCCCATCCCCTCACCAGCACCCCTGGTCTAGGGAGGGATGTGGGTCTGGTCCAGTTCGGGGGGTTCAGACTAGGGAGGGATGCAGGTCAGGTCCAGTTCGGTCTGGGGAGGGATGCAGGTCAGGTCTGATTTGGAGGGTTGGCCTTGTCTTTTGGGGGCACAGCTGGTCCTGATCCTAGTCTCTGTGCCTCTCTACCTGGGGGAAGGACTAGCAAGAACAGTATGAATAAGGACACTGTAAATAAAATGTATTAAAGTTTTTCGTATTTTTTATTTTTAAATGTTTTAAACAGTTTTTAAATTTGCCCCAATTTAATACAAGTTTAATTCAAGCCCTGGTAGTTCATATGAGAAATGTGAAGGATGAGATAGTGTGATGGTTCCCTTTTAGTGGGAGCAGCACATGGCTAGTGTTTTGTCCAGCTTTGGCTTTTGTTAGTGGTTTGTACCCACACACACACTCTCTCACACACAGTCTCCTCCCCAAACACACACACCAGGACTCCCTAGATCCAGGTCACTTTCCCCACCTCTGCTGTGCGGCATCAGGAGCTGCTGCTCTTGTGCCCTCTCCTTACGTAGACCAGGCGGGGAAAGTGACCTGGATACAGGGAACCCTGATGTTGCTCCTCGCTCCCCTGCCACCCCACATACCCCTAGGGGTGTGCGAGGCAGAGGAGCAGCAGTCTTGGGGGGGAGCGAGCAGCAATGCCAGCTACATTGTGCATCCAGGTCAGTTTCTCCACGTGGGTGCAGGAAGGGGATGCAAGAGTTAGAAGTGAAGGGGGTGCAGGGATTGGGGCGTGGGGGAGGGGGA